GATGAGGAATAGATTGTAATTCAGTGTACTTTTAATTTTGACACTGGTTTGACATTTTTCAAAAAAAATTTTTTAGTTCTTTTTATCTGGGGACCGGTAACCCAGACATTCATCCCTAATCAAAATTTAATTAATTTAATTCCTTTTAGATTTATTCTTGGATAGGAGGAATCAGGTAGTTTTGGTCCATGTACCTTGTAATCCTATTCCAGTGGTATGGTCAATGTTACTTACACATGTTAAATCAAGATACACCCTCTGTTAGTTTTAGGTGGTAGAATCCTTTCCTGATGGTTCAAATTAAGGACAGTTGTGAATAATTTTATCCTTTTGCAACTCCTTTCACTAAATTGAGTAGTTTGCTAACATTGGGACTATTGTGTGCTTAACTTCCTACGTTACTGTAAAGTTTGCATGACTTAATGCGTATAAAGCTTTTAAACAGGGTCTAGCATACAGTGTCTACACAGTAAATACTGCTTCTGCTAATCTTCACAGCCTGCTCCTCTAATCAGAGTATTTTGTGGTGATAATGTTTATATTCCTTATAAATGCTTTTATCTAATTTTAATATTGGGGGTTGCTGGTTTAGTGTTCTTTGGGTGTCAGAAAGGTGGGAAGTTTTACTTGTGTTTTCAGTGCCAGTAGACTAATTTTTGCAGTGGCAGACTATTTTTGATTTTGATTTCCATATTGATAGACTATTGTGGAATGGCTAATTAGGGAACTATATATAGTATTTAGAAGCTGTTAAATGAGGAGGAGGAAAACATTAAGGTGGCAGATGTTTTTTAGAAAAGGGATTAACTCAGACATAGTTTGTGTTGGCACAAATTAAATAAGACTTTTAAGTGTCTTGTTTTCATTTTCTGTCCATAATATCCTGATGTTTACAACAGGAATGTTTTAGTAAATCAGGTTATACTATTGTTATTTGATTGGGGGAAATATTTTCCATTTTAGTTTTTATATATTATTTATAGTCTTTTATAGTTTTATTTGCAATTTACATCATGAAGGTCTTGTATCTATAGAATTTCTAAAAATAAAGATCTATAACTCAACAGAAAAAATTGTAAGGGTTAGGAACTAACTTAGTCTTTTTCAGAAAAAAAGAAATACAAATGGTCCTTAAACATGGAAAGATGCTTAAATTTTGCTTATAATAAATATACAAATTAAATCAGCACCAAGACACCATTTCTCACTATCAGTTTGACAAAACCTTAAAGTTTGAGTGTATACTGTTTTGGCAAGATTGTGAGGAAACATATTCTCATACATATAAAGGAATGGTGCACCGTAGTATTAAAGCACTTTTGTTGATGTTGTATTTTTAAGCTGATGCTAAAATAATTGTTATGTGCAAACTTTAGGTTATTAATGACTTTAATTTATGGACCCTTAGAAAAAACTAATTATCTCACAATAAATTGAAGCAGCAAAATAACCATGGCATGCTAAGTCTCGTAATACTGTTGTAGTCAAGATGGAAGAATATTGGCTGAACAGACAGACAAATGGGTACATTTTAGCTAGTTAAACATAGCCAAACCATATTGGTCAGTGATTCTCTCAGGTCTCCAGTGTTCTGTACAGATTAATTTTTAATCATTGAATTTAATGAACACTTAACATGCTTACGAACTTTAAAGTTAGCATAAACCAAGTGAATGTTTCATGCATTAAGTGTGACAGACTAAAGATTTTAAAGATCTACTTTGGTGAAGTGTAAAGGAATTAAACATTCCAGTTAAAAGGCAGAGATCCTACAAGAGATGAATTAAAAGGCAAAAAGTAAAAAAATAGGAAAAGGCATGACATACAATACAAACACTAATAACAAGAAAACAATGTTAGGAAAATTAACATTAGGCAAAACAGCAACTTAAAGATCAGAAATACTGCTAGAGATAAAGCGGAATTCTTTATAATGGTACAGAGGGCAGTTCATCAGAAAGCTATAACAATCCTAAATGTGTATGTAACTTTTATAAAATAGTACACCCAACACTTGCAGAATATAGATTCTTTTAAAGTAAACTTGGATCACTCAATGGGATAAATCAAATTCTGGGCTATAATACAAGTTATATTAAATTCAGAAGGATTGAAATAATATCTGCTTAACCACAAAGAAATTAAATTTGGAATTAAAAATAACTTGAAAAATATTCAAATAATTGGAATTTGAGCAAACTTGTAAAATCACTAGTAAATTAAAGAGGAAATCATAAGGGAAATTAGAATATATTTTTAAATTTAATGATCATAAAATGCAACATATCAAAATTTGTGAGTGGAGTTTAAGCATTACTTAGGAGAAATTTCATACCTTTAAATACACATATAAGAAAATAAGAATTTTTTAAAATCAGTTCTCTACGCTGCCACTTAAGAAACTTAAAAAAAAAGAAAGAAAATTAGCCCAAAAGTACTAGAAGGAAGAGAAATTTTAGATCAACAAAATAAAAACAAGCCAAATTGTATATAATGTCAACAAAGCCAGGAGTTGGTTCTTTGAAACATTTCATAAAATTAGTAAGTCCCTAGCAAGAGTGAACAAGGAACAAAAGAAGACTCAAATCATCACTATCAAGAATGAAAGGGTAGACATCACTATAGATCCTAAAAAGATGTTATGAAGATATTGTGAACAACTTTATGTCAACAAATTCAACATTTTAGATGAAACAGATAAATTCCTTGAAAATAAAACTTCCTAAACTAACACAAGAGGAAATAGAATCTCCCTATCACTCTATTTGTTAAAGAAGTTGAAACTGTAATTTAAAATCTCCCATAAAGACAATTCTAGACTATTTACTGATAAATTACTACCATTTAGGGAAGAAATAATTTTACCAATCTTTTATTTATATGTATATAGTTTTTTGAGGGGAGGGGTAATTAGGTTTATTTATTTATTTTAGAGGCAGTACTGGGGATTAAATCTAGGACTTTCTACCATTTGAGCTATAGCCTCCCCCCTAATTTTACAATCTTACACAAACTCTTTGAAAATAAAGGAAGAAGACTCTTCCTAATCAGATAATCAAGGCAAGCTAACTGAGATACCAAAATCTAATGAAGTCATTCGACGAGAATAAAATTAAAGCTAATTTCCATGAACATACATGTAAAAATCCTGGACACAGTACAAGCAGTGGATGCCAGCAATCCATAAAAAGAATAGTACTTAATGACAAAGTAAGGTTTATCTCAGGAGTGCAAGAATATTTTAACATTTGAAAATCATTAGTAATTTACCACATTAACAGAATAAAGGAGAAGAACTGCAGTCCCAAGAGATACAGAACAGGCATTTGATAAAATTCAACATCAGTGTATCAACAACTACGGAATAGGAGGGAATTTCCTAATTTGGATCAATGAATGCTTTTCCCTTGATGCAAAGAATAAAGCAAAAGCCAAATTGTCTCCTACCATTTCATGTAGTGTTGTTCTTGAGGCCCTAGTCATTTCATTACGGCAAGAAAGAAAGAAGGAAGGAAAGAAAAGAAAAGAAAGAATGATTGATTTAAATATTGGGAAGGCAGAACTAAAAAATATCTTTATATGAAGGTGACATGATTGTGTACCTAGAAAACACGAAATAATATTCAAACCACTAGAATGAAAAAGTACATTTAGCATAGTAAGGGGATACATGGTAAATATACAAAACTCAACTGTATTTTTGTATCGTAGAACAGACAGGTCGGCAAACTATGTCCTGTGGACCAAATCCCACCAGCCTCCTGTTTTTTGCCAATAGTTTTATTGGAATGCAGCCATACCCATTTATTTACATGTTGTCTGTGGCTGCTTTTACACTGTAAGGGCAGAGTTGTATAGTTATAACAGAGATCATCCAGCCACTTACAGTTAAAGTTTGCTCATCTAGAACAGATTATTGGTAAATTAAATATAAAATGCAACACAACTTGCAGTAGCATCAATAACATCAGATACCCAAGAATGAATATATAACAAAAGATATTTCAAAACTTTTATAACTGAGTGGTTCTTAGTGGCAAGGGGAATCATTTTTACCTCCCCCCCCCTTCCCTCAGGGAACATTTGGTAATGTCTGGAGACATTTTTGGTTGTCACAACTGGGAGATACTACTAGTAACTAGTGGGTGGAGGCCAGAGATGCTACTTAACATTCTACAACGCAGAGGATAACCCCTCCCAACAAACAATTATCTGGCCCAAAATGTCAGTACCGTTTGGAAAACTCTGCTCTACAATAAAAAACACAAAACATTGCTGAGAGAAATTAAAAATCTAAATAAGAGTGCTAATCCATGCTTATGGGTTAAAAGATTCAATGTTATTTTTATGATGACACTGTCTCCAAAACTGATTTACAAATTGACCATAATCCTGATCAAAATCCTATCAGACACTTTAAAAATAGAAATTGACATGCTGATTCAAATATTCGTATGGAATACAAAACCTAGAATAGTCAAAACAATCTTGAAGGAGGAAACCTGAGATTTACATCCAGTTTCAATACTTACTATAAAGTTACAGTAATCAGAACAAGAAATTATTGATGTAAGAATAGACAAATACACCTGGGTGTAAAGAATAGAGAGTGCAGAAATAGACCTTCTTAAATACTGATTTAAAACAGAGATGCCAGTGCAGTTCAGTGGAGAGGGGAAAATCTTTTTTTATAACAAGTGATGTTGCAGAGGGGATGGTATAGCTCAGTAGTAGAGTGCTTGCTTAGCATGCACAAAGTCCTGGGGTCAATCCCCAGTACCTCCATTAAATAAATAAATCAGTGAACCTAATTACCCGCCCCTACTGAAAAAAGAACATTGGGGAAAAAAGATCTGTTAAAAAAGGTGATGCTTCAGCAGCTGGGTATCTATTTGGAAAAAATTAACCTTGCTCCCTGCCTCACACTACACATAAAAAATGATTTGAGATAAATCAATAGCAGAATCGGGGTGAAGGAGGTGAGTAGTATGACCAGGAACTCAGAAAAGTGGTGGAGGATATAGAAGAGTTCGCTAACCACGAGGACAAGCAGTGGGAGGTTGACTAAGAAAACACAGCAGCATGGAGGTTGAATACATATCATCAGAGTGGTTTACGTCTTGGTCATTGCCCAGAAATACTAGGGATAATGGGGTAGATTCAGCATTCCACAGAATTATTGAAAGCACTAGTCCCAACATTTTGGGGGTTTTGGGAAGTTACGTTAGGGGTCTCCTGAGCTGACTGGGACTGCAGCCTGACTGGATGGCACCTCTAAAGGAGTCCCATTGATTCTTACTGTCTCAGGTACTATACTGGGTTCTGATGCCTCATGTTAAGAGGGATATGAACAACTAGAATTTATTAAATTAGGAGAAGTCAAAAGCAGGAAGGCTTAAAGACCATGTAAAGGTGAGTAATGGTTGAAGGAACTGGAGTTGCTTAGCTTGGAAATGAGAAGATTGCAAGGAGCATGATCGTAACCTTCAAATACTTTAAAAGCAGATGGATAGACTTCTGTTGTGAAGTAGATTGGTGAAAGTAAGGAAACTAATGAGAGAAGAAATAGGCAGATAAGGGGGACTTATAAACTGAGATAAATAGTTTGAACTTTTTATTGCAGGCAGTGGAAAGTCAGAGGGTACTGGGCTCTGTAGTAATGTGATTATGTTTCTGTTTTGTAAAAGATTATTCTGATTCCATTTTTAGATTGGATTTAGAGGTGGGGGAAGAAAAGCTATTGAAACAGTTCCTGCTAGAGGAATCCTACATAGATTAAATATTAAGTAAGAAGAGAACACAGCATATGGAAAGTGAATGATCTGTAAACAGTGAAGAAATGTAGAGAAGATTGACATAACCTAATATAGCAAAGAATTGGGTCTTTTCTAGGGTTTTGTTACTCATATTACCAGAACTTTTTGTGGTTGCTTTAGGCAGAATGCAGCCGTACAATACTGTCCTGATGGAAAGCATTAAAATGGACTCTCCGTTGTCCATTGCCTTGACGAGTCTGCTGATTTGACTGTACAGATGGTGTAAAATGTACCATTTCTGCTACTTCTCTATCTGATGTGTGTCCTTGCTGTCCCATCTGCATAATTGCCTAGGACAGCATATTACAGAAAATTGTTGCATCCAAGGGTGCTGGTCAAAGATTGCTCTATGTTTAATTCAGTTTCATTAATTTCCGTTACTAAGTTGCACAAGTGTTACAAGGGGGTGACAGTTAACCATTATTTAAAAAGTATATTACTTTGTATAACTGAAAGGTTTAAAATTTAAAACCTTTTTTTTTTTTTTGTCATTAAAAAAAATTCTTAAAGCTGGAAGCTCTTTGACATCCTTTGGAACAGAAGCACCAAACAGCGGTACCCTATCCCAAAGTAGTGCAGTTGGTTCTGCCTTTACACAGGATACAAGATCTCTAAAAACACAGTTATCTCAAGGTAAGCTGTTTTTTTCCTTCAAATATTTCTGTTCTAAATTTCTGTAGTGGTATCTTTCTCTGAATGTAACAGCTTTTGCAGCTTGTAAATCTCATGCATAATTTCCATTTAGTTCTGTTCTAATTTTTCTAATTGTCATTAGCAGTAAGTACATTATTGAATGACTTCCACTATTTAGACTTTTTATAATTCTTAGATCATAAAACTGAAACAGTGAACACTGACTTATTTTTTACAGACTTATTTTTTACAGAGCAATGTTATTATATTGTATGTAATATTTGTATATAATACTTACATATTACAAGTCAGTCCCAGGCTCACCACTGAGGATGAATTATCTTTGATGATTTTGATGAGGAAACAAACTATTCATTATGCTGTTGCTTTCCTAGCATCCTCATAGAATCTAGAGCAGTGACTCTCAATGTAGACCACCCAAAACCAAACCGTCTGATCTGGAGTGTTTCTTAAAACTATAGATCCTGAGAATTGCTACATCAGAATCCCTGAAACTTGGGGATTGGCATTTTAATAAGCTTCTTAAAGGATCCTGTTTGTTTTTTCTTTTTTTTTTTTTTAATTCTGGATTTTTTTACCAGCCAGTCACATAACCTTCAGTGGTCCCGAGATTCCTGATCTATTTTTATCTGCTGCTAAAGTGAATATTACTGGCTCACTGCTTTATATGGATGTTTACTTTTAAATAAAACAGCATGAAGTCATTTTAGAAAGATACCATAATCACAGGACAATATTTTTTAAAGCTTTTGAAGGTAAAATCAAGCCAATGCTAAACATAATCCTGTGTATCTCACTTTAGATATTTTGAAATAATTGTAGTCACTTTTATTCATACTGATTTGGAATAACTTAATTTTTAATTTTGTAACATTCTAAAGATTTGTTGTAGGTGAATTGGAAGTACACAAAGCATAAGAAAAAAGTGAAAATACCCGTAATCTCACTATCCAGAGTATACTTAACATTCCAGCCTTTTCTCTAAGTTAACATAAGTGTATACTTGTGTATATGTGTATTGTTTTGTTTTTTTCAATAAGAATTCATTCTTTAAAAAAAATTCTTAGAGAAAAAATCTTTTTAAGCATTCGTTTTCTAAACTATAAAGTGGAGCTTTAGTTTAAATGGGACTTTACTGATAAACTAACAAACTTATTGTTGGGGTTAAATTTTTTTAAATGCATGCAGTGCCTGTAGCACAGTGCATGACACAGAACCTGCTAGGTAGATGTTAGCTATATTAATTAATAACCACCATTAACCTTAATATTGAAGCACAAGGAGAATTCTTATTAAAATAATAAAGATGCTCCTCAGCATTGTTCTGGAATTTTTAGCTATATCAGGAATATGTGAAAAAGAAGTAAGAGGTATAAATATTAAAATTAACATTGTTATTTTTTTAATTAGTATTATTTGCTAGTGATGACTTTCTACTTGCAATTGAGAATTCACTGAAAAACCCAGACTAAATTGGGACTTAAATTAGAGGTAAAATGTAGAGAATATGAATAAAAATTGATAGTTGTCCTAAGACCTAACCCACTGATTATTAATGGGGATATTCACAATGATGAGAAATTCAAATTATGTATAAAATACATAACAAGAAATATGACCAACCTCTCTGATGAAGGATACAAAATGTAATAGAGGGACATAAAAGAAGTCATGTATCACTGGAGAAATGTATCTTATTCCTCGTTAACAAAGATTTAGTATTAGAAAGACTTTACTTCTCATGATAATTGAATTTACTATAGTTCCATTAAATTCAAATGGAATAGTAAGAACCTGGTAAAACAGATTACATAGACTGTCTTAAAAGTAAGCATGGAAGTATAGCTAGACATATTTTAAAAATAAAGTAATGAGATAGGGCTTATCTCCTTAATAAAGTATACATAAAATAAAGCAGTAATTAGTATATGATAAAGATATCTTTAAACTAGTAGAGAAAGACTAGCTATTGAATAAATGCTGTTGGGACAGACAACTGCCTGATCATTTGGAAAAATAACTGTAGAATCTTTCCCTGGTACTTAGGTCTAAAATAGTTTTAAATAGATTTAAATGTTTCTTAAAATTACATATTTATTAGAAGAAGAGGTGTGGTTATATAAAGCAGTGGGAGAGAAGACCTGGGGATCTGTGTTTAAATTTTACCGACTAAAATTTCTAAATTTTACAAAATTTAAACACCTAGAGTTTTCTTGATTTTCTTATAACTGTGATGATAAAAATGTGAAGCCAGCTTGAGGGAGTATTTTTATTATGCTAAAAGAGTTTCTGAGTTTATGTATGTATAGTATGTCCAGTATCAGCTATATTTCACTGTTTACAACAAAATTGACATCATGATGTAATACTAGACTTTTTTTTTATAGTACTAGACTTTAATTATGAAAGTTTTCAAGTTATGCAACAAATGAGTTATTACCTGCTGTGATTGCCCTATCACTTGCAGTTCTGTAATACTTTGAGTCACAGGCTTAAAGAAAAGCCTTAATGAAGTAAAGTTTTATAAATTTATAAAGTCATTTAATATACTATTGTAAAATTACTTAAACAATAGGCTTTTCAAAACCTTAATGTTTGTTTTATAAATAAATCCTTTCACAAGATGATAAACGATTACAAAATGTTTTCTCATAGGCCAAAACTTAAACTACCATGATTTCCCATTATAATCAATAGGAAAATTACAGTGTTTCTATTACTGGCAGAGTAAACTTTGGCATTACTGGCTGGAAATGGTGACACATATTTGTAATTGCATACTTTAGATAACCATGTACTTGGGGAGTATTACTAATAAACAGTCCATGAAGCACCTGTTGCACAACCAGTGTGCTGTCATTACTCACCAGTTTACCAGTTTGGAGCCTGTGCAGATATGCACAGGTGGGTAGTAAGTTTGCAGCATATTTGGGATTTTTTTTAACATAAAGTGAGCATTAAAAACCTATTTTGGCGCAATATCATGGGTTGTGAGAGCACCTTGAGCAGAGCTTACAGCAAGCATTAGGAACAAAAAGCATGATGGGAGCATCCAGTGTTAAAAATTTTCTGTTTGTACTGTGACCAGACTCTGACTTCATAAAAGGAAAAATAGAATTTGTAAGTACAAAACCCATATTAAGCAAAAATTTGCCGAGAGATCATTCAGATAGCAAAGAATGAGAATGACTACTGTGTGTTTATCTGAAAGGTTTATTGCTGGCCTTTTAATATTGATGTTTAATTACCCAAGCCCCTAAGGTACTGAAGAACTTCACCTGACTTTCTAGTTCTTTACTTCCTTTATAATGGAAATTTAATGAAGATAATACTTACAGGTATAAAGGTATCGCTTTAGACATATCTTTGGAAAATACTAAAAAAGCCTCTGGAAATAATGGTTAAAATGCCAGTATGATCTTGTGGTTGTGGTTATTGGGGAAAGCCTGCATCTGACCTACCATCTTTATAATATTCCTGGGGAATCTTTTATCAGCAGCAGTTTTTGAAAAACTTATTTAAACCTTATTCCACTAGGTAGAAATACAGATAAAGTTTCAGAATTTTTTTGTTTGGTGGGTGTGGGGGTGGTTAAAAAAAATTTTTTTAACCAATCTTATGACCAGCCTGCTAAAGATAAACAGTTTGAAGCTCTGATCTAATGAGTAGATGAACTCAGATTTGTGCTGAGGATTTGATTGGTAGAAATAAAACTCTACACCTTTTTTTTAGGGTCTAGATTATTTTGAAATCCCCGAAGGATAGGGTAGTTTCTTATCTTTTGGTTACGTTTTAGGTCGTTCAAGCCCTCAGTTAGACCCTTTGAGAAAAAGCCCAACCATGGAACAAGCAGTACAGACCGCCTCGGCCCACTTACCTGCTCCGGCACCTGTTGGGAGGAGGAGCCCTGTATCAACCAGGCCTTTACCATCTACCAGCCAAAAAGCAATAGAGAATCAAGAGCACAGGCGAGGTAGAACTTTAGCTGTTTACTGTTTCTTAATTGACTGGTTGACATCTTCCAACCTTATTTTCATTAAAAAAAAAAAGTTTTATTTTATGTGAATGAGCCTAGAAAGTTTAAACTGAACTTGATAGAATGTTCAGTCTTTCAAATTTGACTCAAAGTAGTGATGGTGGTGGGGGTAGATTTTTGATTTTGTGGTTGATTTGTTTGTTTTTCCATTTAAACTTAACAAAAAGTTTATTATGTGTCCTGAGTTGATTGTCACTTTTTATATGTTCTATAGCTGAAGTACACAAAGTTTCAAGACCAGAAAATGAGCAACTCAGAAATGATAGCAAGAGACAAATAGGTAAGTTGTTACTTGTATCTGAAAGCCATATCCTGTGCTTCTCAATAGAGAGAACATTTGAACATATGATACATATTTACTATTAAAAAAATGAATGGCAAGAGTTGACAATATAAAGGATAAGCACAAGGGCGTTTCATTGTGGTAACCAAATAGTTGTTTATCTTGATTTTGCTGGTAGTTGTGTGGATCTGTATATGTAGCAAAAGGTCATAGAACTATACATAAAGACGTATCCCAAAATGAGTACATGCAAAACTTGAAATCTGAATGAGCTCTGTAATGTAGTTTATTATATTATGCCAGTGTCCTGGTTTTTTCCTGATTTTTGATAATAAATAATAGTTAAATAAGATGTTACTATTGGAGGGGAAACTGGATAATGGGCGCACAGGACCATTCGTTTGTTTTGTGACGGGGGGAGTGGTTTGGTTTTGGTTTTGGTCTAATTATTTTTAAATGAAAGGTTTTTTTTAATTATCATTACATGTCTGGAATAAACCCTATTTGATGGTAGGCAATTCCTTTTAACATATTCTTGAATGTAATATGCTAGTAGGTTCTGTGCACGTACATGTACATTGTTGTGTGGCTTTCTCCTTTATGCTACCTTTTGTATTTTTTTGTTGTTTTGTCGTTTCATGTTAACGTTATAAAATTGTTTACATGGTTTTCTATGCTTTTAAGAACAGAATTAGCTATACCATAAAAGTTTGAAAAGTTTTATTAAAATTAAGCCTTGAGCCCCTTTTTTGGAAGTAATTGTTCAAGTACTTTAGCTTTCTTTCATAGTTACTGATTTAATATGGTTGAATACTTTCTCTCTTTTGTAATCTATAACATTTATCCTAAATCCATCCATTTTATTATTTTTAAATTTATTAGCAGAGAATAAATTATAATTTAAAACTCTTCCAAATTAAAAACTAAAGGTGTGTAATCACCTCAATTATGTAATAATTGGAAGATGATCTTTTACTCAATTTTAGAAAACTAGATATATTTTTAAATGTGTATAAACACTGTTTCTTCTGTACATTTTTATGTGTGTTTTTGTATGTACCGTAGAACATAGAGTTTCTGGTTTGTTTACTATATTTCACTTTTTTTAATTTGGAAAAAGAAAGAACTCCTCCCTCAAGATAAAATAATTGCCATGCTTTCATCATTCAGAAATCATGTGAAGTAGTAAATAAAAGTACCTTTTCACTGCCCTTCAAAATTTCAGACAGAAGTATCATGCTGTACTTTATGGTTTGTGGCCAAGACATTTTCAGTAGTAAAGTTAAATATTTAAACATCCTGCTTGTCTAGATTTAAGTGTCTGGATATACTGCTGTAGGTTTTTGTGATTTGTTTTCTCAAACTTGGATAATTTGCCAAATGTTCAGTGAACAGTGAGCCCAAACCTGTCTATTAGTCTATAGTCACTTCTCATCTTTATCGGTATGTGTTAAACACTTCACATAATTATAATCTTTAAGTTCATGCTGCTTTGTGCTCTGTATTTTTCTGTTAACTCACATCAAATACCATTCCATGTTTCTCTTTTATTTTTTTCCACTTAACTATTCCTCTTGTGTTGCATATTTGGGTTCTCAAGTGTTCACTGTAATTTATGCTGTTTTGGTATTGCTTCATCATACCTCATAAGTCTTGTGATTGTATTAAATTGTAAAGAAAGACTTGACTAATATGGAGCCATTTAGAGGGAGACAGTAAAAGTGAAGCAGGAAGTGGTTGGAGTGGTTGAGCCTGGTGCTTCTTGTCTTTTGTGCTATCTGTGAGGTGGAAATAACACCTCCTGTCTTGCAGTTTGTGCTGATAAGTGTTCATTTATTTTTCTTACCTTAAATTTTGGTTTCTATGATCCTTTCCATAAAAAGCTTCCTAAATTTTGAGAACCCTTCAGATGTTTGACACTCTGTAGGTATTAGGGATTATAAGCAGAACAAAACCCCTGCCCTCAAGGAGTACACAGTAATTTAGTACAGAAGTCTCCCAAGTTGTTTGGTTGTACACTCTTGTCAGCATTTATGAGTATAGACCCCATAGATATAAAGTTCATGTGTGCCATTTATAAATTTCAAGTTTATAAATATGTGTGCTGTTCCCAGTCTGTTATGTATTAAATGTTTGTGAAACTTTCTTTTTTATTTAAAAAAATACAAATATAGTAATGTATATAGAGACTTGTAAGCATTTCTGTTGTTGACTCTTTAATATAAAGATCACAATAATAGCTTCTGCTCTAATCCAGCTAATTCTTTATTTGCTTATTAATATAGTTCCAGGTGCTCCTTCAGCTCCAAGGAGAGGGCGTGGGGGTCATCGAGGTGGCAGGGGAAGATTTGGTATTCGACGAGATGGTCCAATGAAATTTGAGAAAGACTTTGACTTTGAAAGTGCAAATGCACAATTTAACAAGGAGGAAATTGACAGAGAGTTTCATAATAAACTTAAATTGAAAGGTATGTTTTCATTTTTCTATTCAGAAAATACTCTTATTTGACTTGTGAATTATGGATGTTTGGTACAAGCCTTGACTTTTATTGTATGTACTTATTTTTCAATAGAAGATAAACTTGAGAAACAGGAGAAGCCTGTAAATGGTGAAGATAAAGGAGACTCAGGAGTTGATACCCAAAACAGTGAAGGAAATGCAGATGAAGAAGATCCACTTGGACCTAATTGCTATTATGACAAAACTAAATCCTTCTTTGATAATATTTCTTGTGATGATAATAGGTACAGTTTTTAAGTTGCTCTTAAGATGTTGAAGTGTGAAATGATTTCTTATAAATTCACAAAGTTTACTGAATACTTAAAAATATGCAATGACTGCAGTTTTTCAGTGTTTTTGCTAAAAGAAAATAATTTATAAAAAATTTTATATAATGCTATTTTTTTACTTTTTTTTTACTTTTTTTTATAGAGTTGTAGTCATTTTACAATGTTGTGTCAAATGCCAGTGTAGAGCACAATTTTTCAGTTATACATGAACTTATATATTCATTGTCACATTTTTTTTCAATGTGAGTTACCATAAGATCTTATATATATTTCCCTTTGCTATACAGTATAATATATGATACTGCTCTTTGAAAAGAAAAAATAATATACTTTGGTTTGGGGATGCATTGACAGTTGAAAATTAGTAATTAAAATAGAAACATTCAGCTAACATCTAAACGCTTTACCCCTTTACGAAGTAGTTCAGATGAAGTTTACTAATATAGTAAACCTCTGCCATAGTGTAGTAAATACAGATCCAGAAAATTGGTTAATGAAAGGACCCAGTATAACAAACTAAAAGTTCAAGAGTTTCTGCTCCCCATCCAAATTGTCGTTCTCCTAGTTGCAGTTTAGTGCCACCTGGTGGCAGTCGTCTACTAAAATTTCAGCATGGATGGGGATGATTCTGAGTCCTGTCTGGACTTTACGGCGGCGGCAGCAACAATTCAGACACTTGCTTGAGGCATCCGGTCCAGAGATTTGGCCAGGAGCATACTAGGAACCTGGGGATCTACCTTCCTTCTCATCACTTCCTGAGACAGGGTTTCCTTTCCTGTCTTTGCCCTTTCTTCCTTTGGGGCTGATTGGAGGGAGTAGTCAATTGCCAGTCCCATTACATATGAGTTCCCACTACATCAGGGCTGCTGTCAGTTTCTCTGTATTATCAACTACATTTACAAGAAACTTAATACCAGTCATATTTTCAAATGAAGTTGAACAGAATATTATAGGGACATATTGCCATGGACAGTCTGTGATGATTTAGATAAGGTGCTTATTTTTATTTGATCTTTAGGAATTACTTAGCTTTAATTTGGGAATTAGTGCTACATAGTTTGGCTGGAAAATGTTCTTTAAAACTTGATACACTAAAGATTATTTGTTCTCATAATAGAGAACGGAGACCAACCTGGGCTGAAGAAAGAAGATTAAATGCGGAAACATTTGGAATACCACTTCGTCCAAACCGTGGCCGTGGAGGGTACAGAGGGAGAGGAGGTCTTGGTTTCCGTGGTGGCCGAGGGCGTGGTGGTGGCCGAGGTGGTACATTCACCACCCCTCGAGGATTTCGTGGTGGATTCAGAGGAGGTCGTGGGGGCAGGGAGTTTGCAGATTTTGAATATAGGGTAAGTATTGTATGCTTTGGGGTTGGTTTGCAGTTCTGTGAAACTCAAAATGTTTTTAATTTTTATCTATTTTGAGTAAATATTTTTAGGGCATTTATATAACTTCCATTTTGATTTTTCAGAGGAGGGTGTACCTGCAGAATACTTATGTAATTTTAAGGAGCAATAACTTCTTGGCTAATGAATCCAAGTTTTTTTTTAACTATTTCCTTTTCAGTGTGAGGAAGTAAGAAATAAAAATATGATACCCTATTTTGTCTTTTTATTATAGAACCATGGTTTCAGATTTCACGGACTGTTAAAAATTTCTTCCAAAAAAAACTATTAGACTGACCTTGGGTTATTTCTTTTTTTAATTTCTTCTCCTTCAAAAACTTTTGTTGTTGGAAGCACAGGAAATCACTAAAGACATTATACAGTATAAAAAGGACCATATTATGTCACCTTTATTTCATATTATAGAGTATGCTTTAGCACCAAAAGAATCTAGGAAGAACATACTCCCAAATGGGAGGCAAACCTATACACTTAATAGCAGCTAACATTTATATAGTGTTTCATGTGTACAAATGAGGAAATAGGTACAGAGATACTAAAATACTTGCCCAAGATCAACTAGTAACTGATGATGCTGAGTCAACTTTTTATCATGTACGTATTTTATTGAAGTCTAGTCAGTTTACAATGTTGTGTCAATTTCTGGTGTACAGCATAATGCTTCAGTCACACATGAACATACACAGGCTGAGTCTTGAACCTAGTGATTTTGTTCCTGAGTCAGTGCTCTTAATTTAGTTTTGCGGAAACCTCAACTACATTTTCCCTGGTGTTTTGGGTTTTTTTGTTTTTTTTTTTTTAACTTGTGTTGAAAATATATTGGCATTTGGGAACTGCTGCTAAAAAGACTAGCTCTGAATAGTAAGTTTATATATAAAATTTATTTAAAAGGATCTGTCAATTAAGTCAATGTTACTATGCTAGTTGATTGATTTTAGGGATAGTGTGGAGGAAGGTATGTAATCAAAGAAAGAATGAAAATCACTTCGTAAAGAGATCTACTAGGAATTGCAAAGAACAGCGAGAAACAGAAAGACCTGCTAGCAGGAATTTCATTATTCAATATTTAAAACTGACCATTGTTGAGATCCCTCTTAAAGGATCAGTGTTAGTGGCTTTTGGGTCTGTTCTGTTAATTTTGATGCCTTTGGTATTGTGTCATCATAGCCAGGACTGCTGAAAATAAGCCTCAGGTCATTAGCTCAGGCTATCCAGCCATGGTGGATGCAACCTGATGGAGCTGCAGGATTTCTAACTTGCAAAATGGCCATTCCAGCTCAGAAACCATGTCTTGGGAACTACAGAACACCTCTTACTTGCCACTATTCCTCCTCTTGAAGTTGCCAGTGACCTTTTGCTTATAGAATTCAGTAGCCTTTTCACAAATATTTGCCCTTAACTCCTCTGCAATGGCGTTGATATACACCTACCCAACTTCAGGTCTTCCTTCCTGATTTTTTAAACACTTTTGATATTATTTTCTTTATAAAAATAACACATGTTCTATTAACTACTATGTATAAAATAGATAAACACAAGTTTCTTCACAGGGAACTGTATTCGGTATCTTAGAGTAACCTATAATGAAAAAGAATATGAAAACAAATATATGTGTGACTGAAACATTATGCTGTACACCAGAAATTGACACCTTGTAAACTAACTATACTTCAATTAAAAAAAAAAACAAAACCATGTTCCTCAACACAGCGTATAAGGGCACGTCATGATCTGGCTGCTCTCCAGGTCAGAAGTCTAGTGCTTGCTCTAGGCCTTGTTGCCAGTGGGACTGCCCTGTTCTTCATTCCTTCTGCTACAGACCTGCGGGCCTTCTAGCTCTTGTTTAGTGCCAAGCTTATTCCTATCTCAGGACCTTTTTACCTATTCCTTCTGCCTGTAGTGTTCAGTTTGCTCTCTTTCGAGTGTTCATGTTCACGTTTGCACTCTTGTGTATACGTGAGCTTTCTCTCTCCCTTCCTCACCTGCGAGTTTCCCCTTCCCTTTTCTGAGCTTGTCTATTCTTAGCTTTTAATCAGTTTTTCAGCTTAGATCTTGTATGCTTTCATCGGCATTTCTCTGTGTTTGTGTGCATTATGTCCTGTGATAAACTTAACCTTCTTCACAATGACCTCATCATCTTCCTGCCTTTGCATCATCTCAGTCTGACATTCTTTTTCTATCCTGGGCAGTGGCGGTATCCATGATCATGGCCCATTATCAGGTCCCACATCCATTTCTTCGAGATGTTTCTCAGCTGCCATACTAACCCACTGATTGGTCTTCAGACCTTCAGTCTCTCTTTACCTCACTTCAGGCATGTCAGCTACCTGCTGAAGAGCCAATGGCAACTCCTTGTTGAAGACCACATTGAGTCAGCTTGGTTTGAGAAAAAGTATGTTTAAATTAGACTTGAAACTTACTGGAATTTTAATAATTATTGCTAGCGTGCCCTCTGTTGAGTTGTTAAACCTTTCAGGCCATCAGTTTTGATATTTGTGGATAGAGAGTTGCACAGTTTTATCTCAAATGCACCTTATTTTAAAGTTCATTGAAGTCTCAGAGTTGGAAAACATCTGAGATGTATAACCTCCTGGCCAAACTGTAACCTCTTCCCTTGGTATCTCTTATAGCGGTTGGGAGCTTACTCCTCCTGAGAGCATCCATTCCCACCCCATGGATGCTCTAATTATTAGGAATTCACAGACATACACATAATTTGAATGAAAATCTTTCCCCTTCTATTTTCAACCTAATCGTTTAACTACCTTTCCAACAAACAGAATATACTCTTCTTCATGTTTTTCAGATAATTTGAAAAAAACATCTGTCATATTCTCTGTGTAAGACCAGACCATTACTCCCCTTTATCTGAACAGTCATCAGTAAACCTTTGCAGAACCACTGTGTACATAGTACATACACTTATTAATGCCATGTCTCACTGTCCAGCCATTTTGAGCCTTTAGTTAAAACTCCTATCATATATACTGCAGAATTAGAATGCATTATAGAGGTTGTCTACATGAGTCTTTATCTGCAGTGCTATTTCCCTGGCAGATAGATCAACATCTACTTTGATATTTTAAGGGGTGATACATTCACTGGACCTCAGGCATTACCCTGATGGTTTGAAGGTTCTAATGTGATATTGCACTGCTTGCTCTTTTCACTCTGTGAGGGTCCCACTATGATACATTCTGCCCTATTTCTTATTACCCTTTAGCCTATTTGATTCAAGCAGGTTGGCTCATGGTCATCTCTTATACATACTGCTTGATTCCAGCTTTAACCTCATTTATTGACCAAGTATATCAAATTCGTCATATATGCCAGGCTCTATGCTGGACATTGGTGGTAACAAAACATGCAGTCCCAGGCTTCTTGGTGTTTACAGTCTAGTGGGGAGACAGGAACAGCTAAAAGTCAGGACTCCTTTCAGTCTTGCCTAAGATTTGCTCTATCCTTAGAAACTTCTCTTCCTTCCTCCACTGATGTCTTCCTTTTCTGACCTCCTGTGGTATCTGCTTTCATCAGTACACATTTTAAATATATTCCCTATTTCATGTGTTTTACTTTGTTCTGCATCGCCAACTAGATGGGAGCCTCTTGGCATTAGTGAATATGTATTTTACTTTTCTTTCCACCAGAACACCTATCTCAGCACGGAGCCATAATGGGCTTGAAGTAAGTACTGGGCATGTTGATTAAAAATACGTTTCTTCCTCATTCAGTGAGGCTGAAGTTCCATCAGTGTGGCTAGCCGTTGATTGTCCATTCCATAGCTGAATGATCCTTCTGTCTGCCGCTAGATCCCTGACATTCTCAACAGCCTATGCCTTCTAAATCATATCATCTGCTGCCTTTACATACGGAAATAGTGAGTGACCACTGTTACATAAAGGAGATTTCTCTCAGGGATTAAACTCGTTTCTGAAATATCTTCTTAGAGATGGAGTGCAATGGCATTTGCAGCAGGCTTCATGTAACGTGTTAGCTTTGTTCTTTATGCTCCCTTGGCATGAACTTACAAGTTTATCTGGTTATTTAATGAAACGTGGGTAAAGAAGGGATTGTGGATTTTTTTTTTTAACTCCTTAGAGATAACAGCCTAGAACCTCTCTCCCACCATACTCCCAATAGTTAGGAAACCACGGACTCAGAGAAATTAACTCTCTTGATCTAAGTACAAGCTAATAAAGCCAAAACTCATACTCTGACTTCCAGCCCAGTTTTGCTTAAGAATAGTGTTAGAAACATAAACTTGTGGTGAGTAGGGTCCTGTAGTGTTTTTCTTTTCTCTCTTTTTTTGGGGGTGGGAGATCAGGCTGGGGATAATAAGAATGTATAGCCCACTCCTATTTTAAATGCTGCTAAGGAGGTTAAGCCACTATGAGTGAGACAGATCGCTTTCCATTTGAATCTGTGTTCCTTCAGAGAGGGTCCAGGGACAGTGAGGTATTTGAAATGACTCAGCATGGTACTGTCTCTCTCTTTCCCCCTTTTATTTTCCCTTCTTCCTGCTACCTCTGTCTCCCCCTTCTCCTGCCTTCACTCTACTTCTTTTCCTCTTTGTTTTGCTTTCTTTTTTTTTTTTTAACCTTTTAGAAAACCACAGCTTTTGGACCCTAAAAGGTCTGGATTGACCATACAGCTTTCTGAAAGGTTAAAAAAAAAATAAATAAATAAGGCATGTGAAGGTTGGCATTGGTGGGGGACAGTGGGATTATCCTCAGCTTATTTCTCTCTGTACCAGTTTACACCATGCCATATATATTCTAACTTAATAACATTGTACAAATGATTTTGTGTTGTATACACAGATATAGTTAAGGCTTTAATATAGGAACTGTGTATTTCTAAGCAACTAAGAATCAGCAGTAAAAATCCAGTATATGGTAGCAACTAATCTTGTGGAAAATAGAAGCCCTTGACTATGATGGCTGAGTACAAGCCTTTAGTTTAGAGTTAATCTCCCTGGAGAACTAGAGTCCCCTTGAGATTTTTATTGCTTTTTCCCTGGTTACTTTTATAAAAATTTCCCAGTCAACAGTCTGATATTTAGAACTTACTTTAGATTTAAGTTGTCTTTTTAAAATGAATTTCCAAATCACTGCTTTGTCCTGGCATGAAACTTTGGAGAGGAATGTTGTTTTACTCTCTGGATATTTTGTTGCTTAGTAAAACCATCAAAGACTTGGGGATTTTATTAGTCTCACAGTATGTTGTCAGTTGTATCTGATGAGTTTGACCTACTATGTTCAAGGCTTGATTAAGTTCTATCATTATTTTAAAAAATTATTAGGACAGCAACCAAAGTGGAGTGTGCCTGTATCTTAGCGAGGGTGGGGGAAGCCGCCTTGCTAAGACAAGCCCACACCACCACTGCTGTAACCTCTGCTAACTGGAAAATACAGTTAACAAATTATGAGCTACTGCTGGATGTGTAAGTGACGAAAGATGTGTCCTGGAAATCAGTAAAATGGATTTATACATGAAAGCAAGAGGAGGGTATATTTAAAGGAAATATACTTACACAAATTAAAAATGCTTACTAATAAACCAATACTTTGAAACTTGAGCTAATTTCTTTTTCCTTTTTAGAAAGACAACAAAGTTGCTGCATAGTCTACAAACAAGTCTTTGAAAGTAGATGGATTTCTAGCTCTTCATGTTCCTGAGAATTGGTTTCAATCTGTGCGAAGAATGAAGAAGTGATTTTGCTGTATATTTGTCACCAGCACTGGGTTTTTGGTTGTTTTCCTGCTTAATTTCAAAGATTCAATGCAGTTACTTTTCGGGGGGTGGGGGGGGCTCATCTTAAAAAATGAGCATTAAATATATTTGGAATAGCAGAAGGCTAAGTAATTTCTTATGTATAGTTAAACTAAAACAGTACTCCAGTGGGACTTACAAGTATTTTTTCATCACTGAAAGGGTTTTTCTTATCACTAAATTGTATTTGGCAATTATTGCAAGTTTCCTGCAGATAGGGCCGTGATACTGTGTTTTGAGCCAGAGGAGGGTGTGTGTGTGGGTGTGAGTGTGTGTATGTGTGTGTGTGTGTGTTTATTTCTTTC